CGTTCCCCCGTCAAGCAAACCTAACGGCTTCTGAAATGGGTCTGTCGAGCTTCATTAAGGAGAAAGCCACGTGCCACGGTGTGGAGCCTCCGGGGAAGGAGGCGTGGCCGTGCAGGCGAGCCACGTGGGGGGCCTCTCCACGTAAAAACAGTTTAGACCCCATAACTTTCCCGACCCGTGGCCATGGCACGGAGGCCGATGTATAAAATCACTATAAAATCACTGTATTGCTTGGTGAAAGTCACACTCAAGTTAGTCAGGAAAAGATGCTGTACCCTGGGTCGGTGAAAGCATTCTGCACTGCTCCGCAACAGGAAGAAGGCGAGGAATGAACTTCTCTGTGTGCTCGCCGACTCCGTTAGTAGACAGATCTCATCACCCGACACGGCGACAAACAGACTGGACCCTCAGGGCCGATCCTGGCTGAGGAAGAGGCCACGCTTCCGGTTTTGCCAAGAGCCGAGCCGTGGTGTTGGCGTCTGCGTCTGCTCTGACTGTGCTACAGCCTGGTGCGCCGCTCACGGTCAACGGGCTGCGCCACACCGAGCCCTCACCACCAGAAATAGGGGAGTGAGGTTGTTCACCAGAAAGGTTCAGACCCCGCAGGCAGACGGTGGCCTCTGAGCCCCCAAACTGGAGCAAGCTACGGTAATGCACGGTGCTGACTCACACGTTTGTGCAGGGGACGAGTCCAAATGGAATCTGACGGCGTTTGCCAATGCTCGCGCCATCTTCCTGGACGGCTGGCTCACTCTGCAGGGGTCTTTCCCCGTTCCCTTCCCGGGGTCTTTTCAAAGGAGGCTAGAGCGTGAGCTGATCAGCGGGAAGGGAGGTGACAGAAGGGGACCTCAGACGGCTCCTTGCTGGACGCAGCCTCTGGAGCAGACCGGGAAAGCTGTGGGCATGGCGCTCCTGAGTTTCGAGACGCATCTGCCCCTGCGCCGTCTGAGGAAAGAGAGGAGCCTTCTCCCTTCTCAGTGGAGTTTCACTGGAAGAAGGTTCAGGGAGCACTGACCTCGTGCTACACGCCACACGTTCAGAGAACTCGGGACGGGACAGATAGGATTTCCTCATCTGATTTCAGGAAGGCCAGAAAACCTCCCGTAAACATCTAGATTGAAGACACGGCCAAGCAGATCCTGGGCTCACCTACCATCGATCCCCGTGATTCCCCTTGCACGCTGCATGTGCCCCCATGAGCCGGGCGAACCCCTCACTCTGGACCCCAGAGGCCTCCCCTCCACCCTCCTGCTCACCCCGTTCTTGGAGAGACAGCTCCTCTTGGTGTAGGGAATGCTCTGTTGCTTCCCCAGCAAATAGTTCTGTTAAAAGTCTATTTTCCAGACAGACTTGATGGTACAAGTTTTTTGCCTTCGCATTTTGAGATGTACTGTTCGAGAAGACCCTTTGGGTTTACGATTTCCATTTTCAGATGAAAGGTGATTTCTAACATGATTCCTGGGACTATGGATCTGGACTGTAGTCAGGAAACCCCGGTTGGCTTCTGTGAAGCTCAGGCTGCTGTTTGGATCCAGAACATTCCCCTGGAGGCTCCGGTGTGGAAGGCTGGTCCCTGGCTGGTGGAAACTGCAGGAGGGGGGCCGGTGGGAGGACATGGGTTACTGGGGCAGCCCGGGAAGGCAGTGTTGGGACCCCAGCTCCTTCCCCTCTCTCTCTGATTCCAGACCTCCAGGAGGTGGGCACCTCTGCCCCACCATGTGCTCACTGCCCAAAGGCTGTGCCTACCAAGGCCCAGAAGCCATGGAGCCCAGAGACCTCAGACTGAAGCCTCTGAGGCCCTGAGCCAGAACCAACCTTTCCTCCTTTTAGGCTGTTTTTCTCATACTGTTTGTCACAGCAACGGAAAGCTGACCAACACAGACGCCTTCTATAAATACTTGTGGAAGTCTGGGAGGCCTAGGTTTTGCCATCGGGATTCTGGCTCCATCTCTGGGTGCCTTAATAGGCTTCAAGACGCAGGCTCCATTTTCTTGGCTGGAGTGTTGGCACATTCTATTTAGGCTACTTTGTTAAAGATGAAGTCTCTCAATTAAATTTTTTTTTTTTTTGGTTGTAGATGGACACAATGACTTTATTTACTTATTTTTATGTGGTGCTGAGGATTGAACCCAGGGCCTCAAACGTCCTAGGCAAGTGCCCTACCACTGAGCTACAACCCCAGCCCTCCTCTCAAGTTTGCCTGGGGTTTCCTCCTAACTAGTCAGACCCTGGGACCTGCTGCACTGGTGCTCTCCTAAGAGGCCCTACCAACACACGCCAGGGAGGAGGTTTGCGGGAGACGGACAGCTACACTTGCGAGAGGCTGCCCCAGTGAGAGGAGTGACTTTCACAGGAAAATCAGAACTTACGTGAGACTCCCTCTCCCCGAGCATCAGCTGACCAAGTCTCCAAAAGGGACGGACAGTCCTCCCTCTGGGGGGGGGCGAGTCCCTGTGTACCACCCAGTGGCCCCTGTGGAAGTCCCCTGAGATCTGACATCCCCTCTCCCTGGGTGAGGAGATTAGAGGCGAGACGGAAGGCGTGACGGAAGGAGAGACAGGAGTTCTATGTGGCGGGCGCCTGAGCAGGGCGCCCCTGGGCCTGGTTAAGGCTCATTCGGTGACAACAAACAGCAGAGAGCACAGCGGGTGTAGAAAGAAGTTCTCTACCACTTTAATTGGGCTGCCCAGCACTGGTCACACAGGTCACTCAGGGGCCCAGCTGTTCGCACGCAGCCCTCCCACCTCGCCCGCAGAGGAGGTCTGGACACTCCAGGGAAAAGCCACCCTGACAGACACAGCGCCCAGTGCAGCCTGCCGCCACGGCCCCGGTGGTCCGCGATGCCGGACCGCGGGTGGGACCACAGGGCGCTCCTGCAGGCTGGACAGCGACAGGAAGCCCCCGGGACGCTGTAGTACGGGACCTGTGAGTCCAGGGCTCTATGTCCTGCCCGCACTCTGCCAGTTTTCACAGCAGGTGGAGCAGCTCCCGCGAGAGTCCTCCGTTTCCCGTCAGTGGAAAAGCTAGTAGTTCTGGAAACGGGCTCCTGGAGCGGTTAGAATGGTTATCATACGTCAGCTGGATATAAATAGGTTATGGACGCCAAGCTTGCATGCTAAGATTGCACAGGGCGGAGGGCAAGAGGACAGGGCGCTGCGCGGCCTGGGCCGTCCGGCAGAAGCGGGAGGGGGGCCTCCAACTCAGGGCGGCCTCGAGCCTCGGACTCCCGGAGTCCACCTGCAGCCGCCTCCCAGGGTCACTGCTACGCTGGATCCTGGAAAAGGGCACGTCTTCCTCACCAGTGGAAAAAAGAAACCACAGACCACACAGAATCGACAGACCTGGGGGACTCGGCACAGGGCCGTCGCACACGGGGTACTGCTCCTTTCTCCAAGAGAATATAGAATATTTCAAAATATCATATATCTATGTACACCTATGTTTCAAATGGTACAAAGTCACTGGAGATCCAAGCCGGGAGAGAGGCGGCGGCCATTCTTCCTGATCTGGGAACGCTGGGCGGAGGAGGCCTTTCCAAAGCGCTCTCCACCGCGCTGCCAGGGCACAGTCCCCTGGCTAGGGACGCTCCACCGCGCACCGCCCCTCTCTGCCCGCCAGAGTGCGCGGAGGAGCTCCATTTGGCTCGTGAGTGTGTAGGACGTGTCGATTCTCAGATGCGTGTTCCCCAGCTCGGTTTCCCGTCTCGACCACGAAGGCTTCTGTTAGGTTCTTGGGTGAATCTGAAACCAGAGAGAGAAGACGTTTCAGGGAGAAAGGCACAACCCGAGGACAGGGATGGAACCAGCGGAAAACGGGGACCCCTGGGCCTCTCAGGCACTGTGCCTCAGGTGGCCCGAGGCCGCACATCCTAACTCGGGAGAGCAGGGTCCTGGGGTGAGCACAGCCGGGGACAGGCCCCGTGTCCCCTCTACGCATGAAACTCACTTTTTGTCACAGCCGAGGAGAGAGGTGCGGCTCAGTCAGTCCACCCGGGTCGGCCTTCGCAGGGGGAAGGCCATCTTGCTGCCCGGGACCCTGTCCTGCTCTTGCTGTCTTGGATTCATGAGTCATTTCTGAGCAAGGGCCGGCATTTTCGATCTGTCCCTGGGAGCAGTCTGCACTTGTCTGATGACAGTCTGAACTGGTCGACCAACCTGGCCTACTGCTGTCCCTGAGGGGTGGCAGGAGGGACAGTAGGAACACAGGGGATCCCTGTAGGGCTAGGGACTGTCCCTCACTGGCACAGTGAAAGGGCATGAGAGCAGACTCCTGTCCCTGCAATGTCACCGAGCTACCCCAGGAGGGACCCAACGGCTCAATGGTGCAGACGCCCTGGTGCCCTGGGGACCCCTGGCTGGGCACACGCGTGCCGACCCTAACTGGGCTGAGGCCTCTCTCCACGGTTCTGGGCTCATCATTCTTAATTCTCCTTTTTTATAATATTTATGTTTTAGCTGCCGTGGTCAATACTTCATTTTAATTATTCATCTCTATGTGGTGCTGAGGATGGGACCCAGGGCCTCTCACGCGCTAGGCAAGCGCTCCACCTCTGAGCCACACCCCAGCCCCCTTCCTTAATTCTTTACAGTGTCAGGCGCTGTTCTGGGTCCAGGAGTGGACGTCCACTGAAAGCCTTGAGGGTGAGGAGCAGGAGGAGCCTGCGTGGGAAAGTGGCTGGCCAGGAGCAGAAGGCAGGGGGTGTCCACACATCCATCTTCTCAGCTTCTCCTTATCAATAGCGGGTCCTCCACGGTGGCCTCCTGTTCTCCTGTGGTCTCTACCACCTTGGGTGGACACTGTCCTCTCTTTATCCAAAGGAGAGAGGACATGCCATTTCCAAAGCTGAGCTGAAATCGCCTCTTTTCTCCCCGACCCAGGCCCCCCGTCCCGCCCTGCGGTCACACCCCAGCACACCCCTGAGACGTCCATGCACGGAGCTCAGGGAGCAGAGCTTGAGTGAGTTTACCGACTGTCGAGGGACGACTTCACTCACACCCGGGAAAGACTGCAGCGCCGTAAACGGCTTCATCCTCTGAATCTTCCAGTATTTTCCGTGTCTTTTAACGTCTCTCCCTTGTCCTTCAATACCTGATCCTTCTTGGTCACCACTGATGGGATCCCTTTAAAGACCTGCCTCTCTTTCTAGAGGCCTTCCATGCAAAGTGGGCTGGAGGTCGGGAGGAGGGGTCTCGGGCTCTCGGTCACCCTTGACCATGGTAGAAGAAGCGGAGAGAAGATCTGCACCTGCCAAAGCTGGTCTTTGCCCTTTCAGTCAGACAGACACACACTGTGTGGTCAGAGGTGGGGAGGCCAGAGAGAGTGGACAGAGCAACAAGTTGGGTTGGACAGACACACACTGTGTGGTCAGAGGTTTGTGAGCTCACACTCCCAATCGGGGGAGGCCAGAGAGAGTGTGGACAGAGCAACAAGTTGGGTTGGACAGGCAGGGTCACGGGAGACAGGACAGCCCTGTGGTCAGCGGGCACTGAGCTTGCAGTGCCCCTGTCCCTCACCGGTACGTGAGTCACGCTGTGCACTAGCTGCCCGCTTCTCACAGGTCTGAGAGACAGTCACATACCAGACGGACCCTCCCCGGGTGCCACACGGGATTCAGTTCTGCTGCTTTAAGGGGCCGAGTTTCTTTGCAAGTGACTTTGGTCTTCTCCTCGTTTCAGCCCCTTCCTCTTCCTGTCCACTCTCCTCTGAGGAGGCCTGTCTTTACCGCCAGCCCTTGTCCCCCAGGCACGAGGCCCAGGCACCCTCCTGAGCACACGGAAGTGGCCTGCCCAGCTGTTCTTCTGCTCTACTTGTCTGTCAGGTCATTCTAAAGAGAAGAAAGGGCACCGGGTGTCTAGGCCCACGGGAAAACATCTCCCGAACACATTACATCCGTCTTGCTGCTGCGTACCACAGTGCAGCGTGATGAGGCCACCCAAGCAGGGACTGAACAGGGCTGAGCAGGAACAGGGCTGCCATCGGGCGGGACACTTCGCCCGAGTGCCCGCTCCTGCCCAGCCTGCGGGCTGCCCGCTCTGTTCCCTGCAGACGGTCTTGGGAAGGTCAGCGAACGCCTGCTCCTTTCTGTGCCCCGCGTGGAGGGCCTCCTCTCTTCCTGGGACGTGACGCTTGGCCTACGTCCCCCTCCGCAGCCCCTGTCCCCCCCCCCATGCTCTACTGCCACCCAGACCCAAAGTCCCGATGGCTTTCCCTGAGACTGCGGCCTGTCACCTGGGCCAGTCCCTGCTCCGGGGCAGCTGATGGCTCAGAGGAAACACTGAGTCTTTTCTCCCCTCCTGCGTGCGTAAAGTCCAGAGCATGAAAATTGGGCCACCTTTGGCTTCTGGGAGTCTGTGTTGGGTGGTTATTTGGGAAGTGAGCTACCAAGCAGGAAGGTCGGAAAGTCTCTCGCTGTCAGGGAGGAGGATGGAGTCGCAGGCAGCTTTCAGGCAATCCTTCCTACACGGGAGGGACTTTTAACACCACCATCCTGCGAGAGAACTCTGCCACCATTTGAACGACCTGGTGTCCTCCTCAACCCTGTTCCCCCCTTGAACCTGCTTTCGGCGTCAACCTTGCGTGTAGGAGCAGTGGTCCAGAGAAGTCAGCGTCAACCTGCTCTCCCTGCACGTCAGGCCTCGGTCGACCTGGGCACGCGCAGAATCCCTGGCTCTCCCGCGTGATATCCAGACTTAGTCGGTGCCTCAGTACTTACAACTCTGAACTTCACCTTGAACCTCTTGGGAAGGTCGGGGGAAAACGGCCCCAGCGCTGGAGGTCCCTCGGGGTAAAGAGGCACGTCTGTCCCAGGGTCCCCTTTTCCTGTGGACTTGGGGACTCTCGCTGGATGGCCGTCGCTCACGGGGCTGCAGAGTGGCCTCTGATTGCTCTGCGTGGACTGGGGGCGCGCATCAGGACAGGCACATCTGCTCGGTGCAGACCCTCGGGACCCGACGGAGTTCCCGCACATTCTGGGTGGCACGAGGCCCACCGAGGGTGGTAGGAGCCGGTGCTGCATCCTCCGCCCTGGGATCAGACTCTGCACAGCACCCCTGGGGTGCTGGGAACCATCCAGGGTGCCTTTGTGACACCCGATGGTTTTAAGATCCACTCTCCAGAGGCCAAGTGAAAGGAAGTCACACTGTCACAACAAACACACAAACAGACAAGCAAAAGCAGCAGGAACGCTTTCTGGATTTTTTCCCATTTTTTGGTTTGCTCCTGTTTGCTCCTGAGTTTCTCCTCTATCTTCCGGAGGGTCTCGTGCTTGGTCTCCCCAGTAAATCCCGAAACGACCTGAGGGCCTTGCTTGTCTTCAGGGCGATGGTGTCTGGAGACTCCGTGAGAGCGTGACTTACCCTGGATATGGGTCATCAACTGGAATGGAAAATAGAGATTTCGCAGAAAACATGCCAGGAACCTCTTTACAACAAGGGGATGGGATCCCAGGAATAAGGCCAGGATTCTGTGCATCTGGAAACCAACTGATTTGTGAGGAATCTGCAAGCTATTTGGTAAAAGCATCTCCAGGCAAAACACAACCAAAAGGAAACCAGGCTCCCAGCAGCTCATCCAGAGTGGGACCTGCAGGGGGCAGGCACAGCCAGGCTGGGTTCCGATGATGTCCTGCAGGTGTTCCAGCAAAACCAGACACGCCAGTCCTCCTGGGCCACGCAGGCGCAGGCAGATGCACCTTAGCACGCTGGGAGGCTCAGAAATCCCACCAGCCACAGGCCGGGAGAGGTGGCCGCTTACCGGGCTGCGTGGCCAGTGCCGGCAACTGAATTCCACGCGGCGTCTCCATTATCTCATATGTGAAGAAATGAGCTTTTAGAGAGCACTGCGTGCCATTATTTTTGTATTCTGCATCACAAAGCTGCACAAACCAATTTGGTTTATTTAATGATACAGGGGTTGGAATCAGGGATGTTCTTTTAAATTTCACTCAGCTTTTTGGCAAACTAAGAGTTCAACATACTGTGATTTAAAGCTGGTGGAGATTGCTTTAAAAAATGCCCCAACAAATTAGAATATGCTCACACACCCTGCATATCAGGGCACGTGTACACGTGCCCTCCTGGTTGTTAGAGTATCGTGTGCTTTTGGTGATGAAGAGTCACTGTTCTAAGTGACCCGTGCTCCTCCCACCACACTCCTTTAGGATTCCGGTCGGCCAGTCCCTATGGTAAGCTAGCCTAACGGGGGCTCTCCCCTCTTGCCCAGCATCTTGGCACCAATTCTTGCGGGTTGAATAGCCTCGCCCTGCAGTGGTTGTGTATTTTGAAGATCACTCCTGACTTAGCCAGGAAAACCAAGGAAGATCATTCACTTTGCAAAAACCTTTTTAGCTTTTCTAAAAGATCATCAAAGCATTGCCTTAAAGAACCTTTAAGAAATGACTGCACTCGAAGGCAGACCTTTGCAGCCCGACGGTCTGGATAGAAGGGGAGAGGCACTTACTTGATTAACATTCTGAGCACCACAGGCGTTGAATGGATGAGCGAGCACCTAACTCTCTGCTCCTCTTCCCTCTGGCTAGGGCCGCCTGGCTTTGCTTAGGAGCCCGTAACAGGAACACGGGTCAGCCCAGTGTGGACAGGCCAGGCTCAGTCTCCGGCTCCTTGATCCTGGCCGAGTGTGTTTTCTCTTTGGGACACCCCTCCTTCACTCCCAAAGCTTCTCTGGGTGCCGTCTGCACAACACCCAGGCAGAGTGCATACGTCACAGGCAGGGGACGTCACAGGCAGGGGACATGCAGATGCGAGCACTCACCCTTGTGGTCTTGATCTTGTTGCCTGTGGCGCACATCCATCCCGAGTTGTCGGGGAGTGTCTTGCACTCCTCTCCCTCCAGGCAGGGCTCCATCTCACACCACCACTTCCCGATCACTATGGAGGCTGCGCAAGAACAGGAGACCAGCGTTGGCAACCCACGGGGCAGCTGGCACCGACGCGGCGTGCCCCGTGGGCTTCAGTGCTCCCTGAAGCACGAGGTCCACCTGCATCCCCCTTGACCAGCTGAGAAACTTCGTCAGGGAGAAGGAGACCTCAAGGTCTAAGTGTCAGAATGCAGATAGGATTTCCTTGTCTGGTGTCACCACGCGGTGGCTTGGCCCGCGTCTCCCTGCAGGCTGAACGCCTGGGGAAGGGGCAGGCTCACCTGTGGGGCCGCCAGGGGCGTGGGTGAATCTACCTGTGCAGATCGGGGACCTGGTGCTATTCCTTTCAGTGGGGGAGGTGAAGAAGTAAGTGTCCCTGGGAATGGTCACCGTCCTTTCTGCATCGGGCTCTTCCCTTAGCCCAGGGCCTTGGAGAATGTCCAAGGTCCAGCAAAAATAAGAAATGAACCAAGAATGCAAAAGCAGAGTTGCAAAGTCGAAGTCAAGGGTAAGAGCCGGGTGTGGTGGGGAAAGACTGAGGATCTACAACCCGGGAGACGGGGTCCCAAGTCCATGCCCGTCGCAGTAACGTAGCGAGACCCCGTCTCACAATGACAACATGAAAAGGCCTGGGGATGTGGGTCGGTGGCGAAGCACCCACGGGTTCCATCCCCAGCGCGAAACCAAAACAGAACTCGACAGTGATAAGGACTCAGAGTCCTCCTTTACAGCCAGAAGGACAGTTGCCACGGGTCGTGGGTGCCGTGGTCTGACACGGCGTCGGGTGGGGGGGGATGAGAACGGAGCCCCTGATAGAACAGCCCCGCTTCTCGGGGTGACATCAAGGATGGACATTAGGAGGCTGGCAGTGAGGTCCGTGCACTTATTCACATGCGTGTTCTGTGATAATGAGTCCCTGACCCAGTGACTACACCCACGCTTTACAATCAAGAAGCCCACACCCTCCTTAACACACTGAAACAAAAACCACTTCTTCACTGTCACTGGTCATTTCCGTGGCTCCTCAAGGGGGTAGCTCCTCCGGACCCGCCTGGCTTCCCCTTGGCCACCCCCGCGAGGCCGCCAGCGTTGTTCTGCGGCACTTTCCCGCTGGTTTCACATCAGGGCCCTAGTTCCCTCCCTCTTCCCAAAGATGAGCGTCTGCCATGATGTCGGAATCTCAAAGCCACAAAGAAGAAGAAGCCCAATGAATCAGTGTCACGAGGATCCACAGTGGAGTGAGAGGGGTGGACACCACAGGGAAGTGGCCACCGGCCTGCACCTGCAAAGGGACGGGCTGCTGACCCAGAGCAGAGCAGCAGCAACCTCATCCGTACCAGGATTTCCCTTGCGCCCATCTCCTGTCCCGGAAACTCGGAGCTCTGAGCACTGTTGCTGTGCGGGATCACGCAGGCCGGCCGTGTCTGCTGTACTGAAGCAGCGGTTTGGGTTTTCAGGGAACCTCTGCCCTATTGGCTGTTCATTGCACACAGACCGAGGTGTGCAATGCAGCTTCAGGGACCCAGCATGGGGGGTGAAACCTCGTGCAGCTCTGCAGACCCAAGACCACAGGATGCCCGGTGCACACGGACAGGAGCAGCAGCAGACACACCCCCCTTCTTCTTCTTCTTCTTCTTTTTCTTTTTATTTAGTCTGGTAGCAGGGCATGGAGCAGGGGACGGATATGGCCATGAAAGGACTTGGGCAGTGGATAGGTGGCCGGGTGAAACAGGAGAGGCACATGTTTTTTTGGCAGAAAGAGAAGCATGTATGGCTGAAAGGGAACGGTGACTTCTGGGGGCAGGAGGTGGACGTCAGGCCCTGGCAGGGTGCTGAGAACCTACAAGCTGTGGCTCCTGCGGGCGGTGGGAGCTCAGTGAGAGACAGCCTGGCTGCATTTACCACCGATCCTGGAGCCTCTCCCTTCGGCCTCCTGACATCTCCACCCTGCGGCCTGGGCAGAGCCGGAGTGGACCCCCTGCTGCAGCTCTGAGGGGGCCTGTGAGAGGGCAGGTTCTCACTCTCCTGGCCTGCGCCTCCCCCTTCTGACGGGCTCTGCCCCCTCCTTCGGGCCCTCTCCTTCCTCTTGGAGCTGACCTACTTTGTTACAAGCTCACAGAGCAGTTTCCCCATCTCCCAGGCATTAATATCCCCCAAATGAAAACGCAGACAGGAGGGGAGAGACATCGCCAAACCCACGTGCCAACTTTAATTCGGTTGTAAAGGTCCGCTGGCCCAGGGGGGCGGGCAGGCTGAGTACAAGCTCCAGTCCTGCTTACAGCATCTAAACACTCGCGTCGCAGAGGGCACACTCGGGCTTATTAGGATCATTCCGTTCCTGCACCGTGGCTGCCCTAAATGTGCCGCTCCATCAACACTGCTGCTGTTTATGCCTCAACTGGTCCTGTTACCCTGCGTCTCTCCGGGTCCAGGTCAAGGCAGTCTCCAAGCCCAGTTTTCCCATAAACTCCTCCGTACCGCAAGACTTTTTAAAAAGAGAGAGAATCTCAAAGGTTCTTCTTCTCTCCCCAACTGGAAGCTACCTAAAATCTTCAGATTTTTGGAAGAGGAATGATCTGTTAGATCTGATAAAGCGAGCCAATGTATCGATGTTATTTAACTGTTTCTATGATTTTTTTTTCTTACAGAGATGCTCATAAGAATAAAAATGTAAATAATTATTAACTATCCTCCATCATAATAGTCAACGCGTTAAGGAAACGGTAACCGGCCCCGGCTGCCTCTTGCTGACCCAGAGCCAGATACTCCCTGGGCACCTCTCCTGCACAGCGTCCCTGCCCCTGTGAGGTGGTGGCTGCTAAGGGCCCACTCGCAGGTGTGGACACTGACCCACAGCAGGTGACCCTTCCTAAGCTCACCCAGGTGGGAAGCACAGGATCCACACTAAAATCCGGGGCCCTCACCCACAAAACCCACTCTGCTCGTCACCCCGGCTCTGTGCGGGGTCTTCAGAGAACTTAGAGAAGATCACCGACTGCGGAATGAAGGGATTCTCGGTGCCTAATGTAAACACGTGCCTAACACAAAGACGTCTGGTTCCTTGTGAAATCGACTTTAAGAACGTGGAGGCAGGAGTCAGACCACCAGGCCTGCTTTCTTCCTGGGCCGAGCTGCAGGTTGCTTCTTTCCATTCGTCACAGCGTTTTCACAGGGATTGCCACAGTGAAGTTTGGGAAGCCGTGGGAAACTCGTGGAGTGGACCCGCGACTGCTGCGAGGGCTTTTTATGCTCTACAAGAACTGAGTTAACTAAATGCCAGCTATAGATCGGACTCTCCCTTGTCTGCAGCGACGGGGGAGGAGGATCCGTCCGCTCCTTCCCCTCCTGGGAGGGACCATGGGCAGGAAACGGCGGATGTTCCACTCCTGCAAGAAAAGATCATCTTCCCTTGAGAGAGCATCACAGTCTCTAAAGCCCCCTTGATCATGAGTCTGGATTTCTCCCTTACGCCTGGTCACGCTGCGGTACAGCCACCCAGAGGCTGGGCTGTAACAGGAGAATCACCCCACCTCTCTGTGCACATCTGAAGCACAGCAGAACCTCCCAGCCTTTTATTACTAGTGTTACTGCTCTGTTCACCCATGAGGCATTGTCCGTGGTAATACAGCCAGATACCAAGCAGCCGTGGGCCCTCACAGAGCCAGCATCTGCAGGCTGCAGGCCCTTCCCACCACTTCAACTCTACCTGACTCTGAGGTCGGCAAATGCATCCCCTGATCCAGTGAGAATGGACGCAAGAGCAGGGCATCATCCCGCCCCCAAGTGAACACGCCAAGAGAACACGCCAGTGGGCGGGAGGAGCAGCTCCCAGGAGAGGAGGGGAGCAGAGCCCCCGTGAGACCAGAGCGTTCCGAGAGCCAGGAGCTTGGCTTTCTGGGTTCTGAGGGAATGTGGGCCACCAGAGATTCAGGGCCTGGGTTCTGTGAGCAAAAGGAAGACAGGGCCAGCCGAAGGGGGCCGGTGAAGACGCGTTTGGCAGTGGTGTGCAGGACTGCCGGCTGCAGGGAGGAGCCAGAGGGTGGAGGGGCAGTGCAGGGCCTCGGCCTTCCCAGGAGGAGGCCACGGCCTTGATCTGCGCTGGGACTGCCGAGGACAGAGGGGAAGCCCATGCAAGAACACCAGAGGGCACGCTGCGGGCAGCCTCCCACCATGCTGACCCTGTGCCCACGGGTGCCATGCGGGCGCTCCTGGCAGGCAGGTACCACACTACCTCTGGAACAGGCAGGGACAGCCTGCGACAGACAGGTCCTTTATGAATGAAGGATGAAGAAAGGAAACAGAGGAAGGAAAGGACGGTGGCCGTAGCCGGGGGGCGGAGGGTGTCCTGGAAAGTGCTCTCAAGGGGGGTGCGGCACTGGGAAACTAAGCATCAGCTTCCACCGTCCCCGGGCCTCTCCCTGCTGAGGCTGCACAGAGCACACTCCCTCCACGCAGACAGGCGGTTCTTCACGGTGCTGAGGAGCAAGGGTGTCCTTCAAGGTCACGCCCTACTCCCGGCCGGCTGCCATGGCCTGGGGAGGCCCAGTCAAGTGGTGGAACACGACCGTGTTGGCCTCCCCAGGAGCCAGAGGGGAGCACATCAGCCAGGACAGACCTCCAGCTGCATTCTTCTTTATTTATGACCTGATCCAGAGGGAGGCCCCGGGCATCTGCCAAGCCCCTTGGCCCTGCGTGGGGCACAGGAGGCCTGGGAAACAGCTAGGCCCCTGGTGGAGGCACCGGCCTTGACTCCGGGTCCCTGCCCTTCCAGGGAGGATGGCTTTGGACAGCTGCTTAGCTCAAGGCTGGGATCCTCGATCACACAGGAAGTCACAACATGACAGCGGTCATCATGAATTTTAGAGGTAACAAGGATTTAGCACGGTGCCTAGTAACTGGGCACTCAGCATACGGCTCTCATTGCTATTGTTTATCCACGTACCTGGTATCTGGCCACGTAGGCGTCCACCTAGTGACCTTCCTGCAGAGTTCACACCTATTCCACACAAGCTTATCCTC